TGTATAATGTCGACGTATCCTATATCAACTTGTGATCATGAAGGATTCAATAAATTATTATTAGTTACTATTATTATTATTATACTTATATACCTATTATCTCCTCATGAAGACTATCGACTCGATCCACGAATGTAAAAAATATTTTTTTCGGGGGGTAGTCATTTTCAACAGTTCTTGTAGATTAAGAAACATTACATGTAATTTTTGGTAGTGAATCATTATTGTCGAATTTCTATTTTGCATCGTATCTTCTAAACAAGGCGTCCTATTGAAAATCATCAAAGGACAAAATATCCTTATAATAGTCCAAGGAAAAGTCCCTTAAATTATTTCCGCATATTTACTAAACACCCTGTATAATTCATGCAGCAGTAAGAACTAGGGCAGTTGAGAATTCAAACTTCATAATACATTTCTACAGTGTTCAACACGAATATTTCTGTTTGAACACTGTCCTTAACAGTACAACCTACTTCCTGTGTAACTGAAAAAATCTTCAAAAAAAATCAAACGTGCTCTAAAGCAGTTTATAATCGGAAATTCAAATATTTTTGACACATACTGAAAAAAATGGAGTCCTGCATTGAATACCAGCTTCATTTATCAAATGTAAGATATCGTGATTTCAGAAACTTTGATATCACCTCCTTCAATGATGATCTTTATTCTGTTGTATACAATTGACAATGATGATGACATGATATTTTTCTGGAATACCAATTTGATACACCTCTTCAATATTCATGCTCCTCACCGTACTATACGAGCAACCAAGACGCCATCTCCCTGGATCACTTACAATATCAAACAGATGCTCAAGCTGAAGAATAAAGCTTTTCAAAGATTTAACAGACTTAGGTAATGCAATTCGACGTGAAAAAGCTGCATATTTGCAGAGTTACACCTCTAGCAAAATGTAGCGATCCCACCGAATTGTCTGATTTTCGAATGATAATGAAGGATCAAATATCCAACTACTCTGTGGAGAAAAATCTCATTTCTGACGTGCAATCGGGGTTTCACCCACAATTTAGTACAACAACAGCACTGACCCTTATCACTGATGATATTTTCAAGCCATGCGATGGAAAAAAATTCACTTGTCTCATTTTGCTTGATTACAGCAAGGCTTTTGACACAGTAGATTCGTTTATCTTGTGTAAAAAACCATACATACATATTCCATAAATACATACAGACATGCAAAATTCACCACTACGCCGATGATACCCAACTATATACCTCTTTCAGTTTCCAAGAAACTAAAGAGGTCCGAAAACTCATTGATAGAAATCTTAAATCATTATTTGATATATCCTGTGCACACAATTTAAAACTCAATCCAAATAAATCGCAAGTCATGCTTTTCGGACCAAAAAATAGAAGAAGTGCGGTGAGTGAATCTCTATCTATTCACATCGATAATCACGCTATCCCCTTTGTAGAGGCAAGTAAAAATTTAGGTTGAAACTCAGCCTCTGTGAGTCTCTGATACTCTCAAGATTGGCCTACTGTGATGGACCAGTTTTACTACAAACTGATGCTCGGCGTCTTCAGAAAATACAAAATAGTTGTATTCGATTTTCGTATCGAATCCGTAAATACGACCACATAAGCTCATCCTTTGAGAATTCAGGTTGGCTGAAACTGAATACCCTAAGAAAACTGCACCTTCTTTGTAATACCTCAAACAGATTGAGCTGTACACGCAGAGCTGATCCCCATGCTGTTATATCATATATCAAATGGCACTCTACTAGGGAACTATATAATTGATGAAGTTCTTTGTGAGGTAAGTAATTTTTCAAGGAACGGAAGTTGTGAAGCATTGTTTGCAGTTTTTTTTATTGTATATTTTATATGGGAGTCCCACCTTAAGTTTCTATCTATGTAGACGCCCAAGTATTTGATTTCTCTCAGGCAATCTATTTTTATTGTTTTTCATTTTTCGCCGACATCAAGAGTAACACCCTGTGTGACCGCCAATATTTTTATTTTGTCGAGCTCGAGCAATAAGGTAATATTATAGAAAATTAGATTCCTATCTGCTTCCTATAAAGAGATATGGAACACCGCGCCACTGTTGCAGGACCCTGTATAATGTGATATTGATTTTAGCAGTTCTGCTTTAATTTCGTCTTTTCCTACCGCCTTTTTGTTTTTAAGGTCGCAGAATAAAGCGTTTACTTCATTTTGGTAAAATTTTTTTATGAAAAACGGGGTTATTATTTTTGACTATTTTATTTGCCAATTTCTGAATTCATTGGCTATGTCTCTGTTGTTTGTTAGGAGTACTCCCTGATCATTTTTTATTGGTCCAATTGTTGTTGATTTAGGTGTAGTGCCGGTGATTTCTTTCACAATATTCCATAGTTGTTTGGTATCTTGTTTTTTGTATTCTATTTTGTTCTTATAATAATTTTCTTGGTGGTTTTTATCAAATTGATAACTGTGTTTCTCAAACTTTTGTGTTTTGATTATCAATGTGTTATTGTAACGGCGTATTTTTGACCTATTAACCTTTCAAAGTCGCATTCGTCAACAGACGAAATGAAATTATCATATATTATATGCCACTTATCGCACAGTCTGCTTTTTATACCAATCACCACAAAAATCCGTTCGCCAGTTTTTTCGGCTCACTTTCACTGCTATGTTCACAAAATACGCTTCGCGGTCCTTGCTGAGAACAAGCAATACGAAAAAATTCCCGGCCAAAAGCCGCTGACTATTCTGGAGAATTTGCTGAGGTTACTGCCTGTTGTTGGAAAACTACACAAGTCTCCCATCTTGAAGATGTTGAATCGGTAAGTCAAAAATTCTAGTAGTGTCTGTAACACTTCCAAATAATTTACTTTTAAAAGTAATTTTCAAACACTTCGGGTTACATTACTGCAATTTTAGTGGGGATCTATATCTTCCTATTTCTCCATCATCCAACAAAAAATTTGGGAACCGTCCAAAGAAAGGAACAACGATTATAACTATAATAAAGAGTTTTAAAATTAAAGAAAGGAAGTAAGAAAGTAACTACAATAATGATTCATTATTGTAGTGTTCTTTGTTCCTTACGGAGGAGTAGAAAACCAAAAAGTTCTTCAATTCAAATTAAATTTCTATGGCTAGGATCAAGTAAATTGGAAATGTGTATAAGTACAGTCGCCGGAACAAAAACAGATTTTTTTCTTCCTGTAAAACAAAGTTATAATGTTGTGAAAGAAACAAGTGTTTCGTATTGTAATGTTATCCAGAACTTTGTTGTACCGAAACTTCGAAGTACACCATCGATAGTATTACATGAAAAATACATTTCCGAGTAGAGAGGATTGGATCCTCCAGAAAGAAATTTCAAGAGAATATATTTGTTGGTTCACAGATGGATCAAAAACACCTTCGAGCTCTGGTGCAGGTATTTTCTCTAGCAAATTTGGGACGGAGATATCAACGTGCCTATTAGAGAGATATGCGACTGTACTTCAAGCGGAAATATATGCTATTGAACTGTGTGCGGAGAGATTGGTGAAATCCAACCTCATAGACAGTCAAGCGCCGTTGGAACGTCTAAGTTGGTAGCAAATTACCAAAAACGACTCTCCTCAATAGAAAGACTTAAGAAATTGTCTCTGGCGTGGATCCCAAACTGAAATTTTCCTCTGAAAACCAGTTTAGTTTTATGAAACATGTTATTTGCTAAATGACGAATAATAATAACATTTTGATAAAATAGTGTGAACGGACCATATTCAGCGATAAAGATTCATAATAATCAATATTTGTATTTCACAAGATGTTTGGATAACAATAATAGTTTTATTTATGTCGTATCTTTCATCTTCTCATAAACACATATTATTTATTAAAGCTTTCAGTAGACGAATGAATTTGATATTTTCTGCTATTATAGATTATTCAATAAGTTGTGTTGATAGTTATTTAATCGATTTTGTCCTACAAAAAATTCTCCATCTCAAAATAAGCCCAATAACAGTAAAACGAATATGAAAGAAATATTTGCATTGGAATTTTGTTATTAAGCATTATTAAGAATCCATCCGTGAGTCAAATTACTTGATTACTTAACTGTCAATAGATTTCTTGTGTAACCGAATCTTTCCATTTTACACACGTATTCCAAATAATATGTACAAATACTACAAATAGTATTATGATAAAACTCAGAAACACTAAATTAATGATAGTAGGTTGGGTTAGGTTATGTTAGGTTAGATAGCACCTAGGTGAGGTTAGGTTAGGTCCAAAGTGAGCGGGTCTATTTGACCTTCCACCGCAACCTGCAAGGGTTTATTGTGGCTCACACTTATTCACATTCGGCCAAATAAACCCAGCTTCTTAACGAAGCTGATTAGTTTGTATGATAAGTGATTTTTCAGGTCAGAGCCGTACTCTAAGAGTACGGCTCTGCCGAACTCTTACCATCTCTGCATATGCCGGCTCTGCCGAACTCTTACCATCTCTACATATGATGATTCAAATAACAGTGATCAGTAAGAAGGCCTGTTAGACATCGTACTTCATCCCTACTGTAGTCCATATTATATTAGTTGATAAAACAAATGACATTGACTTTCTATCCGACTTTCAGATCCAGGAAACAATATGGGGATGTGGTTGTTTCGAATTCTATACTTGGGAAACCAGACTCTGTATATATTTATAACGTTAAGGACATTGAAAACGTAGGTTTATCAAGATAGTATCTGGTTGTTACTCTATTTTTCCTACCAATCTGTAGTCTTTGTTAAATTTTATATTTGTCAATACTCCTATGGCTCCAATAGATTACTTTCACTTTCTCAATTATCACATGGAAGTGATTATCAGAGCATATTCAGCTCTGTGATAAAGAGCAGGGTCGCACTTAGTCCATTTGCTACATCACTTTGTTCGTGCTGGTAGTTTACCTCAATAAGAAATTTTCAATAGATTATCTGATGAATGTTGAAATGATTACATGAAGGGAAATGCCATTTGGGGGTTTCCATTCAAAATTTCAACAGATTGTCAGAGTCAGAAATGCTTTATTGTCATAAAAGTTTAAGTTGTCATAAAACAATCTGAAACATCAAAATAAAGGTCAAGAATTAAAACGGAATATTAATATGGCTCAAGCACACTTGACAAAAAGTCTATGGGTAAAGTCTGTGATAAAAAAATTTTATAAGTTGCAATTATAAGTTGCGAAGTCATCCGAAAGAAATTCCTCAATACTAATAAGCTTTATCTAACAGAAGTTTTTTCACTCTATTTCTAAACTGTTTGTAGCAAGTTTCTGATTGAAAGGAGGAATGATTGAAATATTTTTTTCTATTATAAAGAATCGAGTTCTTAATTTGAGCTGTTGATGTGATAGGAAGAGGAATATTGAATGTGAGACGAGTGGCATAACTTTGACTTGAGTTCGAGTTGTTATCGTTGTGCTTTTTGGGCATTAGGCAGACTGTTTCTGAAATAAAGAGGCAGTAGACTGTTAAGATGTGATGTGTTGAAAAAACACAAAAGAACACAAAATGTAAAGGAATCCATTGGAGTGTATATAAACGCTGCTAATTATAAAAAATGATGAATTCTCTCAGTCAAACTAGAGATTGTGTGTGAGTTCAGACATGATTACAGATGTGAGCGGAAAAACAAATGCTAGTAGTTGATATTTTACATTTGAATAGTGACTAATTATATCATTGCAGGTTCTAAGGAATTCAGGGACCTATCCAGTGAGGAAAATTTTAGAAATTTTTGTACATTATCGAACAGTGGTGAGAAAAGACATATTTCAAGATTTCGGAGGAATTTTAACGGTGTAAGTTATTTCAAGAGCAAACAGTACAACATCTTCCAGATCGTCTCAAGTGTTTGTTGAAATACAAAATGTTGATGAATTTTTTCCAACTGATTAGTCTGAAAGAGTTTGGGACTGTTCTGCTTTCAACACACTATTATTTCAAATATTTTTCACAAAGATTGTGAATCAACTTTTTCTCAATCTACATGTCTTCGAGTGTAGATAATTGTGAACTGATATCGTGAATTTCAATTCCATCTAGACAAGGCGAAGATTGGTTCAAAGTCAGATCTATAGTCAATCCTATTCTCATGCAGTCAAAAGTCATCCATCAGTACATGTCAAAGCTAGAAGGAGTAGCGAATGAGCTAGTAGAAAATATGAGGCATTTCTCAAGACTCAGCGAAAACCATCAGATGCCGGACGATTTCGAGAACGAGCTATACAAGTGGGCTCTGGAATCAGTCGGTATCATGGCTCTCAATAAGCATTTCGGTAAGCGAATAGACATAATGGCCCCAGAATGGAGCCTTGGGGTGCAGGGTTTATTTTGAACGACTCGTTCTTTCACAGGTTGTCTGGATTTGACGACACCGCAAGATTCCGATCCGAAGAAACTAGTCAGTGCCATTTTAGATACGTTTGACCACTTGTATCTTATTGAAATAACGCCACCGCTTTGGAAGTTATTCAGTACGCCGTTATACAAGAAATTCGTCAAAAATTTGGATTTTATAAATAGGTATTCACTTTCTCCTAAAAACACAAAAGGTATTCTGAAAAGACAAAATTGTTCCTTCTCGCCACAATATTTTCAAAGGTTGAAATTTTGTATGTACATTCGCTTTATATTTTAGTTGTGCAATAAAAAAGGCTTCAAATTTCCAGTGGGTGAATTTAGTTTTAGTATCAGCATTGCACCCGTGCGGAGCCGTGTCGGTTTGATAGTACTAGTATAGACACACCTAAAGAAGCTAGTGTAAAGCGAAACACGTGTTGCGTCCTATAACGTACGCTATCATGGCTTGCCCATAGACATGGTCCATGAAAACTATAGTGAGCATTATAGGACATTGTCATATATTGGTGAACCAACCAATAATATCGCTGGTTTGGAAAAAAGGTAAGCTTGGAGTGGCTTACAGACCGAATAATAATCCAAGCAAGTTCAATTGAAACAAAGGTAAAACTTCATTGTCGGATAGATCAGGGGTACCTATATAAGTGAACATGTGTCTCTTGCCCAAAACTTTACATTGGCCAAACGGGGAGAATATTTTCCCAGAGAATAAAAGAACATAAGAGTTCAACTACGACTATAGCAAAACACTGTTCAGTGGAAATCTCACAATAAAGTATTACTTGCACATTCCTGCGGTGTTATCACAGTTGAACAATAATCTAAATGTCTTTTCTATGGCTATCTATGACTGGAATATAATGGCAAATTGTATTTCATCTGCAGCGTCATTATAAAAAGCATCGACGAGGCCTTGGCTGAACCCATCGACGACTCAATACCAGAGCACCAGCTCAGTATCCTTCACAGACTTGGGAAACGAGACAAAAAAGTAGCCTTCACCATGGTGATAGACATGCTGATTTCCGGATTGGATACGGTTAGCAAAAACTACAGAGTTCGAATAACTGACGCGAAGGAAAATTTGATAACAAATTCATTTCCAGACCGGCAAAACCTTGGGGTCGATACTCTACTTCCTAGCCAAGAATCCGGAGAAGCAAGCCAAGCTACGGGAGGAGATTCTCAAGGTTCTTCCTGAGAAAGACTCCGACATTACAGCAGAGAGATTGGAAAAGTTATCATACTTGAGAGCTGTAATAAAGGAGTCCACCAGGATTGCTCCTGCCGCTTTTGTATCTTTCAGGACTACGGTGAAAGATCTTGTTTTAGGAGGTTACCAGATTCCCAAAGGGGTAAGTTACAAAAGAAAAACATCGAATAGCGAAACAGCTATTCATGATATGAGTGTTAAAAGTAAGGTTTTAGTTTGTTAGTGAGTTTGCAAAACGAGCGTAGTAAGTCACATTTATAGTTCTTGCTGGTGGTTAATGTTTTGCATAACCAAGAACAATAGTGAGGAATTGTGTGTTCCTGACGATATTGAAGAGACTTCAAAAAGAGCTCCAATTGAAGTGCTATCAAAAAAATCGGCTTTGCAGTACGACAACAGGGTCCTCAAATTATCATCCTTGATTAGTAAATGTCGACCACTTCGGGGCTCATCTTCGAGGATAAAATCTCCGGAACGAAATTTCGCAAGCCTACTTCAAACACTGCGTTCATTAACACTATCGTTGCCAAATATCTAGTAAACTTTTTGGCCAACATTTACTTATTCTCACTTTACTTTTCAGACTAATGTAACGTTGGTATCGATTTGCACGTCGAATTCTTCGGAACACTTTAAGGACCCAGAAAAATTTATGCCAGAACGTTGGCTGCGAGAAACAGATGACGAATACTCCTTCAAAAAGGTGAATCCATTCGCAAGTCTTCCATTCGGATACGGACCTAGAAAGTGTATCGGCATGAGATTTGCCAATTTGGAGCTGGAGTTGGCTCTCATTAAGGTAATTACTGAGAAGTTTATTGTGGATGGATGTTTTTACGATATTTCTGTTTCGTCAGCCGGAAAATTAGCCACTTCCTTTTCAAAATGAAGGACAATTATAACGTCAAAATGGTTCGGCCACATTGAATTATATTACTTTTTTCTTTTTTTTTTTCTAGATCATAAGGAGTTTCGAGCTGTCCTGGGAACATCCCGATATGGAGTTTGCTTCACATTTGCTGTATGGAATAAGCAATCCACTGAAACTTACTGTAAAAGAAGTGACGAAATGAAAAACTTATAATGTGTACTACTTTGAAGTTTATAAAATCGGGGTAATTTTGCTATATAAAGAAACACAAATTTTAGATATAAGACAATTATTCATCCTTCAGATAGGATGCCAGCTATACAAGAACAAAACTGAACATGACACTCCAAACCATCCGTATGCAACGAGAAAAAGGCAACACCATTGTATACCACTGGTTGCCAAATCTATAGGACAGAGAAGCTATCGGTATCTAGCTCCCAAACTATTAAATTATTTACCAAAAGAAATTACATATGAAACTTCTCTGAAACGCTTCAGAAAACAATTAATATCAAACTTCACATTAAACTAGTTTGCATCCCATTTGGGATGCAAATTCCTATAGCGATGCATCATTTTTCGAGTCCTTACGTCGAGTTGATACAGCTCCTGCCGAGTCCTGCCGAGTTCACTACTCAAAACGAGTAGAGCGACTCCTCTCTTATTAGGTATCATTACTATTATTATTGAAATATTTACCAATAGGTTAACAGACAAGCGAACCTGTTTAACCTCCGTAATATAAACAGGTCCACTCCAATATCCTTCCGAACCAGGTTGACACTATTAAAAATCTTTATACAGATAGAAAATAGTTCTCAAGATTATCCCATAATTCCGACCGCGATAAAAACTCTCGCCTGATTCCGGCACTGTTTCATTTCTGTGAGAAGGTCAGATCCGTCGACATGCAGAATCAAATTATCTATTAATCTATTACAACGACTCATAACTGTTTTTACCGTGGTCTACATCGATAACAACAAAAATACGCGCACTTCATCTAGCACTCGAATTTTGGTACATCTCTTGCACTTGTTTGCCGTTCTTTTGTTTCTTCGGCGTCACTCTCATAGCAATGTTGATACGTTGTGCTTCGCGACCCTTAGCGCTAGGGGCGAGGGCGGTATCCGCGAGTTCCTCGAAACCGTGTGCAGGGGCAGCCGCGGTGTCGAAGAGGGAGGACTATTACAAAACGTTGGGCGAGCATGTGGACGAGTCTAAGCCTCCCGGTTGGGATTCCGCTCGACCTTTTGAGGAAATTCCCGGCCCCAAGCCGCTGCCTATTGTGGGAAATTTGCTGAGGTTCATGCCTTTTGTCGGGGAGCTGTACAAGATTCCAATCTTGGGGATGTTCCAAAAGTGAGTTGGAAACTGCAAAAGGTTGACAAGCATGATTTTATTGTGATTGTTGTTGTTTTTGTTTGTGTCTGCTTTTACTTCTATCACAAAATTTTACTGAAAAACACGCAGG